GCCCTGCGGCACCTGCAGGTGGCTCCGTGTGCCCCGCGGGGCGGCCCCCAGCCCGAGTGTCCCCTGCTCGGTGCCTGCCCGGCCCAGCCACAAGGTGCGGGCGCTGCTCCCCCGCGGTGCGAACCGCAGCGGCCCCAGGTCCGGCTCTAGGCTTTTGCCGCCCAAAGCAAAAAAAACCAACCAAACAAAAAGATGGCCAGAATGCCGGCCCTGAAATTGTGCCGCCCCAAGCACGTGCTTGGTTTGCTGGTGCCTGAAGCCGGCCTTGGACGCTCAGGGTGGCTGAGCCTGGCCTGCCAAGCAGAGACTGGCCTCCCCCGGGCCTTAGGTGGAGCAGGTGGCCGGGTGCAGAGCCTGGTCTTTGGAGAAGTCCCTGGCCTCCCGCCCTGGCCTGGCGTCTCCGCAGAGCGTTCCAGGCGGGAGCAATAAAGGGGCTCACAAAGGATCCAGGGGAGGAGCGTAGGGTTTCCCATCAAACCTGGGGCCCAGGAAGGGGCCACAGCGGAGGGCGCCGGGGTGGGTGTGGGAGAAGAGTCTGGCTGCAGTGGGGTGTCCTAGAGGAAAACTGGCACCGTGGGCAGGGCAGGAGACCCAGGTTCGAGTCCTTGCTCTGCCACACCCCCGTGGGCACTGGGGCCAGTCACATCACAGCCCTGTTCCTCAGCTCCTGCCCTGCGCCAGGGGCTGCAGGGGGTGGAGCAGGCAGGGCAGGGGCGGGGAACCAGGGGCTCGCTAACTGTAAGGGGGGGTTTGCTTCCCCAGGCTCAAGAGCTGGGGGCTGCTCTTGCCCCCCCCCCGCCCAGGGCAGGCCTGGGGCTGACCCCTGGCTGTGAGTCTATCCGCAGCAGCAACCCAGCCAGGCTGGTTTATTTTCCAACACTGCCCTCTGGCTGCCAGCACTGCCCAGCCCCTGTGCTGGGGGGGGGGGGGGTGTTCAGACACCGAGCAATAGATCGGAGCATCTGCTACATAAATCGGATGCTGCGAGCCGCGGACCACCAGCCCGGGAACCCCAGCCACAGCCCTGCTGCCGGCTAGTGGGAGACCAGCCCCCCGGGTGCCTGCAGTGCGAACGCGGGGTGCTCGGGGCTCAGGCCGTAGCCGTCCCAGCCAAGCCCGTGCAGCCAGCTCGCCCACTCCCAGGCCGGCCTGGCCTTGCCCAGCACTCGGCCTGCCGGCCACGGGGGCCAGTTCCCCGTGAGCGCAGCCCGGCTCCTGGGCTCCTTCGGTCTTTCTCGAGAGACCCTCCCCTTAGCCATGGGCTCCTGCAGCATTCCCCCCTCCCCCCACCGCCGGGGGAGCTGCCATGAGCTGAGCTCACCCCACTCAGGGTGGTCCCAGCACCTCCTCCCTTCTGCTCCAGCCCAGGCAGCGGGGCTCAAACCTGGGCCTCTCACACCCGTGTGACAGCAGCGGGCCGCTGGTCCCCGGGCACCCCATCTCTCCCCCCCAGCCGCGCTGTTCCTGGGAGACAACAGGCCAGGCAGACAGCTGTGAGCCTCAGGCTGGGGTTTATTTGCAAACGACCCGTGGTGCCCGCAGTCATTGAAAGAGTCCCCGTGGATCCCCCCTGCCCCCCCGGGCTGCTGCCCCCCCCCCGGGCTGCTGCTCCCCCGGCCACTTCAGGAAAAGCTCTTTGCAGCCGCCCCGCTCTGGCCCTTGGCAGAGTCCTTGTCCAGCTGGCCCCGGCACTCCCTGGTGCTGGCCGCACACATGGCTGGGGGCAGCAGGGTGTCCGTGCTGGAGGGGCGGGGGGAGACGGCCCGGCAGGCCGAGGCTGGCTGCTCTGGCGCCAGCTCCGCCCGCTTGCCCATGGTGAGGATGCCGGCGGCGTGCTTGCCCGAGCCGTGCAACAGGCGGTAGAGCTGGCTCTGGAAGGCCCCCGAGCCGCTCTTCCTCTTGCCCAGCGTGAGGATGCCGGCGGCGTGGTTGCCCAAGCCGTGCAGCAGGTCGTAGACACGGCAGGGGCAGGTCTTCTGGCGGCAGCACGTGGGCACGCTCTGCCGGGCCGCAGCCAGGGAGCAGAGCAGGGCCAGGACCAGGAGGCAGCAGGCCCTGTGGAGCTGCGGGCGCAAGAGGCAGGCATTAGTGCAGGGACAGGCTGGCATTGATGGGGTTAAACCCAGAGACGCCTCAGCCCCCCTCTGCCCCAGGCTGTGGATCTCAGAGCCAAGCTGCAAAGAAGCTGCCAGACGGGCTCAACCCAGGGGCCCATCTAGCTTGGCATCCTGGCTCTGACAGCTCCAGCAAGACGCCCTGCAGTGCTGGGCAGCCCAGCTCCGGGAGCCCTGACCCTGACCCCACTAGTGACAGGTTGGGTGGTGCCCAGCGACCGGCCCATCCCAGCCTGCGGGGGGGCCCCCAACAAGCTCCCCCAGCCAACCCCACACACCTCGCAGGCCCAGCCCCACCCTCTCCCAGCAAATCCCACGTGGGCGCCACCTCACTGCCCTGCCCCTCTGTGAACTCTCAGCAAACGCTTCCCCTAAAAGACCCAGCATGTCCCAGTCTCCCATAGCCACCCCCCAGCCGGCTTCACACCTCACCACACCCTTCTGCACTAGCTGGGCTGCACGACCCTCCCATGGCAGGACTAGAACCCAGGAGTCCTGAGCCCCTGCCCCTAACCACTAGCCCCCACTGCCCTCCCAGAACCCAGGCGTCCTGCCTGTCACACGCCCTTTGCACAGGCCCTAGCAACCTGCTCCAAAATCCAAGACAAAGGGACCAGCCACACACTGTCCCCTGCCTCTCACCCCATGGCAACACTGCAGCCCCCGCCCCTTTCCATGCAGGAGAAACAGCCACGGCTGCAATTAGCACTAATTGGCCCCCTGCTGGCAGAGGGTGCGTCATGGAGACCAAGCTGCCCCCAGGGAGCCCTCCGGGGTGAGGCGGGTCTGGGGCAGGTGGGAAGCTCACCCCGTTTCGGGCGTGGCCGGCAGGGTCAGGCTGCACCCGGGCAGGGTCGGGAAGGGGTTAAATATAACAGCTGCTGGGTCTCCCTTTAACACTGAGTGGGACTCGGTTCTGCGACACCTGGCGCTCAGCCAGGCCACTGACCCCGTGCAACGCTCGTGCAACGCACCACGGTGCTGAGTGGGGAGCAGTTCACGCAGCGGACGCAAGGCCAGGGCGGCTTGGGCCACAGGCGCCAGGCGGGACAGACCCGGGCGCAGCGTGCAGCCCTAGCAGGTCTTTGCCTCCCCAGTGTCCTACGTGGCCCAGCAGGCTGGCTCCAGGGCTCGTGGGGGAGGGGGGGGGGGTCTCGGTGGGTTCTGGGACCCCACTGGGATCAGGAGAGACACCGGGAATGGACAAAGCAGATGCCATTTGCACCCCGGCCTGCGTCCCCCGAGGGCAGGACAGGCCGGGCTCCTCCCCAGAGCTGCTCACCAGGGTGGCACATGGGGCGGGAAGACACGGAGACACGCCAGCCTGGGGTTCAAGGCCACCATCGCGCCACCCCCAGTCACCGTGCTCGCCTCCCCCTCGTGCTGCACACCTGCCCCTTCCCAACTGTGCCCTTGCTGGCGCGAGACCTCCCTGCACTGCGGCCTCTCTTCTGCCCAGCCCAGCCCTGGTGGCCAGGCCCTGGCACCGTACCTTGGCGTTGGGCACCTCCATGGGTCCGAGGTGTCTGCGAGGACCTGAGCGAAGCTTGGGCATGACCCGGTGAGGAGCAGCGACACCCTGAGCCGCTCTCCCCGGCAGCCCAGGCTTTTATAGGGCTGGGCTGCCCCGAAACTCATTCCCTGCCCTCCCCAGCCCCCGCACAACGGTGCTGCCAGCAGTGGGCTGGGGCTGCAGGACGGGCCAGTCTCTGGGAGACACGCGCCCATTGTCCCCTGTTGCTTGGAGACGGGCGAGGCCCGTTCCCTCATTTGTGGCTCCCCATTATGCGGCGGCCGGAGCCGAGTGGCTGGTGGTCGTGCGGGATGGAGACAGGCCGCGTCGCCTGGCGCTAATGAGCCTGTAACTTCCGAAGGAATCCGCCGGCCCGCACGGCACAAAGCTGCCGGAAGGTCAGCGGCGGGGGGGAGGGGGAGATTGGGCCCCATTAGGCTAATTACCTGGCCCCAACAAAGGGGGCCCGGCAGCTGAGCCGCATCCGTCCCTGGCACGTCAGAGGCGCTGGCGTGGCCGCACATGTCCGTGGCACGGTGCACCTCCAAGCCCCCGGAGAGCCAGGCCCTGCAGGCGGAGAGCGCGGGGGGAGAATTCGCCCCCCAGGGACGCTGGAACGTGTTTTATCGGAGGGGGGGCACTGGTGATGGAAACCCCAGATTTGGGCTATTACTTCTCCAAGCCAGGGGCAGCACCCCCCATTTCCAGCCCCAAAGGAGGCCCCTGCTCAGCCCTGGGGCCCTGTCAGTCCTCACCCTGCCTGTGGGTCAGGCCCCGTGGCCTGGGAGAGGCAGCCACAGCTCAGGCCAAGAACCTCCGCGCTGCCACCTCCAGGCTGGCATCTGTGCCCAGCCATGGGCACCTTGCTGCAAGCTGGATGGCACTTGGGGGGCGGTGCGGGGGGTGCCCCCAGGGACAGGCTGCTCCCTGGCGGACCGTGCCCTGCAGAGGACTGGGCAGGGGGGCAGAGACATCCCCTGAGGGTCCAAGACCCAGGGCCTCCCCATCACCCCTGCGGGAACTGGGGAGGGCCAGGAGCTCCATCCCTGCGCACCAAGGGCAGGAGACGACTGTGGGCAATCGCCAAGGCAACGGGCCAGGGTTAGTCACCAGCAAAGCCGCCCAGCTGGCAGGAGCCCCACCTGCGGGTGGCGCTGGGGGCGGGCACCTGGCACTCCGACCTGGCCGGAGAGCGGGGCCGGGAGCCCAGGCAGGCCGAGTCCCAGCAGCGACTGGCTGCGCCTCCGGCTGCTCCAGCCACTGCCTCCTTCCCGGGCATCACACGGTCACCACGGGAGCAGCGAGGGTCCTCCCCCCGGGGGGGGGGGGGGGGGGGCACGTACAGCCTGTGCCCCAGGGGTGCCCCATGCCGGGCCCAGCTTGGCTCCTGGCGGCAAAGGGCCAGATTTGCCGAGCTCCCCGGACCCAGCTGCGGCTGCCCATCTCGGGAGTGCAACCAGTCCCCGCCCTGCCTCCGCCCCCCCCCCCCCCCCCCCCCCCGACAAACAGCAGCCGCTGCACCAGCTTGGGGTTTGCTCTTTATAACGCCGCAGCTCTGACCCTGCTCTGAAAACATGGGGCGGGGGGGCTGCTCCCAGCTTCTGCTGCCTGTGCGGAAACCCCGCCCGGCTCAGCGCTGGTTTCTCGGCTCGCGCTGGGCCGGGTAGCCCCCTATTGCTCTGTGACTCGATCCTGCCGCCGGAGTCCCCCCAGCAGAACCCTGGTGATCGCGCCCGACCCCCTGGGGCAGTTCCCTGCCCAGCCCCATGGCCAGGCCCCTGCTCCAGGCTGCACTCGCCAGCTCCGCCCTGGGCCCTGACCCCCAGGTGGGGCCGGGGAGGCAGCCCATGAGCCAGGGCACAGCTGGTGGCTTCCTGGCCCCTGAGCCCCATCCAGGAACGTTGTCTAGGGCAGATGGGCTGGAGGGGGGGGGGCTGGGTTAAGCAGGAACCTTCATGGCCCCTCCCAGCCCCGGGGCAGCTCAGCAGCTTTGGGGCAAGGCTGAGCCCAATGCGGCAAACAGCCCAGCCCTGAGCCGGGAAGCTCGGGGGCAGCGGCGGGTTGGCAAGCTGGTGGTGAGCCGGACCCGGCGTGAGCCCCTCTCGGAGACCCCCACGTCAGCACACTGGGTGCCCAGCGATGCCCTGTAACACACTGGCCCAACCCCCCAGGGCAGACGCAGCCGATGCCCTCCGACGGGGGTTCCAACTCCCCCCACGACGGGACCACCCAACTGCATCTGCACTGGGTGGGGGGGGGCAGCTGCAGCCCGGGGAGGGGGGGGATTTTTCACAGCTGAGCACTGCAGCTATGTCGACCTAACCTCTCAGAGTACGCCAGCCCCCCCCACAGAACACCCCCCCACATGCAGCAGGACAGAGACGCTCCTTCAGCGAGCGCAGTCGGAGCAGGGCCCGGGCTGGGGGGAGGCTCTGGGGGCTCAGGGCCCCAGTGTGACTGAGAGAGACAGGCTGGATCCAGCCTGACCCCCCCTCACTCCCAGCGCCTGGTCCCAGAGCAGATTCCTGCAGGTCCCCACTACACATTCCCGAGCCCAATCCCTGCCTGAAACGACCCCCCAGCCCAGCCCGAGGGCGCAGCCCAGGGCCAGGCAGAGTGCTAACCCCACCCCCACCCGAATCACCCGCCTGGATCGCCCCGGGACGGCCCGTGCAGCCCCCACCCCGGCCGGGCTCCTGTTTCCCAGACGCACGGACAAAGGCCCGGGCGTTCTGGAGCCTGGGGCGGGGCCGGTGCCCGTACAATCCTGGGTCCGTGGCAGGAGCGCTGGGGGCCCCGGGCGATGGAGGGGCCGCGGGCTCAGTCCTGGCCCCCACGCCCTGCCCCGCGGTCAGCAGGATCCGGTGTCGCTGCCTCCTTCTGTCTCTGAGATGGGCTCCAGCGGGGTCCGGGCCCGGCCGAGGTCAGGGGAGGCAGAGCCGTTCCTGCCGATGCCACATGACTGCCCCGCGTTGTGGATCTGCCACAGGTTGTCCAGAGCCTCCGCCTTGGCCTGCTTCAGGAGATCTGCCTGGCCCTGCAGCGGGGAAAGGCCAAAGGTCAGGGGTGAGATGGGGCGGGGGGCAGAGGTGTGGGGGCTGGCTCCTTCGAGGTCTCCACTCTGGGGGAGCAGCCTGGACCTGGGGGCAGGGGCTCCCCCCCAGCGAGAACTGGCCCCTGGGCTGCGGGGAGATGGGCCCAGCTTGTGACACGCAGAGACCCTAACCCAGCCGAGCCGCCTCCCCTCCCCAGGAAGAGTCACTGCTCAGGGGCTGCCCCCTAACCCCCCGCCCCAGCCCTGCCCGGGAGCCAGAAGGGAGCAGCGTGATCCTCTCGTCTGACCTCCTGCACAGACCCTGGCCCCCGCACTCCTGCAAGAGACCCCTCGCTTCCGGCTGAGTCCCTGACGCCTCGGATCACGGGTCAGTCCCGCGGCAGCGAATCCCCCTTTCACACCGGCCTCACAGTCAGCTCCTCACAGGCTGGAGTCCCCCCCCCCCCCCCCCGGGCCCCTGTGGGGGGAACGGGGGATCTCAGCCCAGCCCCCCGGTGGGACAGGGAGCTGAGAGCTGATGATAAATGCAGAGATCAGAATGGGACGCCCTGCGGGGTGCAGGCCAGGGAGCCTCACGCTCAGTCCCTATGGACCCGGAGCGGAGCCGAGACCCCCGACGCCTGGCAGGACACGGGCCTTAAAGGAGCAGGGCGACGCCGTGTCCCTCCCCCTCTCGTTTACATGGGGGGGGGGCCTCTGCTATCAGGCGCTAGCAGAGCCTGGGGCTGGGGGTCACCTGTCCAACCCGGCACATACAGGGCCCCAGCCCCGCCCGGCCCCCTTCGCTGCTCACTAGCCCTGTGGGCTACTGCTCTGGTGCCACCCAGAGTCCACTCTGGGTACTGCAGCTCTGTGCCTCCCCATCCAAGCCCAGCTGGTTCCCTGGGCCGGCAGTGTCCAGCAGGAGGCAGCGTTTTCACGCCCAGCGGGTGGGGTGTCGTGGGGGGGAAGCGGTTCCAGGCAACGGCCCCCGAACAGCCTGGTGTGCTGCTGACTTCACAGAGCCCCTGTCTGGGCAGAGCCCCGAGAACCAGCCAGAACGCCAAGCCCGGCCAGCGGCACAGTGCTGGGAACCCCCCCAAGCTGGGGCCAAACCTGTGACGCTCGGCACAGAGCCTGAGCTAGAGGAGCAGCTCCCTTTGCTGGCAGCAGCAGTAGGCTGTTCTCCCCTCTGCGGGCAGCCACGGGCACCACACTCGCCGCAGACCTGCCCCCTCCAGCATCCCACCTGCGTACCGGGGCCCCGGGAACAATTCATACTGGGGGGGGGAGGGGCTGAGAACCATTGAACCAAACAGCCCTGTACATGATGGAAACCACATTGAGCCAGAGGGCGCGGCAGCCCCCCCAGTTCCAGCCCCTACCCCTGTGGCACTGCCCCATACGCTCCCTGGCTCAGCCCCACAAGGCCCCCTTAGCCATCAGCCAGCTCCGAGGGACGCTCGTGCCCCACACAGCCCCTAGATGGCAGCACGGGATCACCGCACCGTGGGCCTAGCTCCTTGATCCAACCTGCCTCTGACGGGTCCCACGGGAGCAGGGCCTGGGTCTCCCCAGAGCCCACCCCACGCCCAGAACAACAGGGCCCCGGTCCAAACCCAGGCAGGGCAGAGCCCAGTCCAGGGGACACAGAGCTGTCCTCCCCTGTGTGTGCCCCATGGCACCCCCGGCACAGCCCAGCAGGGACCATGGCAGCCAGGCCTGGGGGGTGGGGGGAGACCAGGATGTCGGGGTTCGCCCCACCCCCACAGAACAGCTCATGGACAGTCTCTTGGCAGGGCAGGCTGGGAGCTCAGCACCCCCCAGAGCCAGCCCGCGCCCCAGGCACTCCCAGCCCAGGCAGGCAGGGCGAGCACATGGCAGCGTCCAGTGCAAGCCGGCATCACAGGGCACCGCTCCCTCCCTGCAGCCACCGGCCCCCCAGACCCCCCACGGCTGCGGGCCCAGCTCTGAGCTCCTGCTGCCGGCTGGGAAACCCAGGGACCCG